AAGCCTTATCTAGACGTCATTGATCATGAAAATCCTTTTCCAAGGGGTTTTAAAGTGCCTGAGTTCACTTTATTTTCTGGTGAGGTTCTATTGAACATATTGGACGCTTCACAATACAGTGTGGAGAGAAGTCTGGAGATGATAACTTGAAACTCAGATTGTTCCCTAGCTCTTTGACTAGGACAACCCTTACTTAGTACCTCAGTCTGCCTCAAAATTCAGTCTACTCTTGGAGGCAAATGGAGGACTTGTTTCATACTCAATTCTATCGTTGTGAACCGGAAGTGTCTATGGCAGACTTGTCGAGGTTAGCCCAAAAGCCTGGAGAGTCGTCTGAGGCATTCCTTGCTAGATTCCGGAGAGCCAAACTGAAATGTAGAGTTGCACTACCAGAACAGGAATTTACTAAGCTGGCTCAAAATGGTCTGGACATTGAGCTCTGAAAGAAATTTGAGGGGATGGAATTCCGAGACTTTTATGAATTGTCTTATAAAGTGGTTCGATATGAAAATTTGCTGAAAGAAGATGTTCAAAAGAAAGTTGCATCACATGGAACCTATTACAGTGACCCTCATTTTGAACTTGATGTGGCTGAGGTTGTTACAGACAAGCTTGTTGTTTGTCCAGACCAGCTTGTTGTTTGTCCAGACCCTGTCAGACCAACTCACCAGCCTGAGACGTCTATGAGATGTTATGTTGGTGAGGCTGGAAAACAATATACTTTTGATGTGTCAAAAGCTAGTGATATATTCGACCACCTTAAAAAGAGTGGTCTGGTTAAGCTACCGCCAGGACCTAAAATCCCGACAGTGGCTAAAATTGGAGTTAGAGATTATTTCAAATTTCATAATTTTTGGAAGCATTCTACTGATAATTGTCTTATTTTTCATAATGTCTTGCAAGAAAATATTGATAAGGGTATCTTGAAATTTCCAAACAAAGCGAAGGAAACCATGGGAGTGGATGCAAACCCTTTTCCAGCTGTGTTTGTCAACGTGAATGTTGCAGGCCTTAGGAGTGTTGCTAGAAATCGTAGTCTGCCTTATGCTCAAAGGAACCTTGCTGCTGAAGACTTGAGGTGGGTTCTTAAGGCACAGAGATCCAGACATAGCAGAAGCGTCAGGTCAGACCAACAGAGGCTCGGAGGGCAAGGAAGGATCATTGTGACCAGGAACTTCAGCCCAAAAGGTACCAGACGTTACTCAACTGGTACTAGGTCTCCAAGGATGGCCAAATTGCCACTCAGGTCACCTTCCAAACGATGGGAGAAAGTCGATCATCCCAAGTTTCCAGCCCAGAATCCCAGAACCTTGAGGCGCAGACTACAACGCAAGAGGGCTGAAGAGCGGAAAAGGCAACAGCAACAGATGGAAGCTAAGGGAAGTTCATCTCGTAGACCACGCCAACCTACAAAAGGGAATATGGTGTGGATGAGAAAAGAGAAAAAGGAGGTTGTAACTTAGACTCTACTAAAGGGGGATGACCAATCTCCAACCTCTCCAAAGGTGGCATCTGTCATTATGAGTCCAGACGGGGTTTTGAAAGCAACTTTTGAAGCACAAGAACAGTCTGGGAATCGTGGAGCTGAATCAAAAGAAGATGACACTATTCATTTTGGGGAATTCTCAATGAATTTGTCATGTCTGGTGCTGACGTACCCTTGGTTTTCCAAGCCAAGAAGGAGGAGGAACCAATCGTCTGTGAGTTCCCAGAACAAACAGAAGAAGAGGTAATCGTTGTTCCAACTCAAGATGATGAAGAGGAGGACATGGCTGACAAAATTGTGTTTGAAAAACCAGAAGAAAAGATGGCCAGACACATTAGGCCACTTTATATCAATGCTCACATGGATGGGACTCCAATCAGCCGTGTCTTGGTGGATAATGGAGCTGCAGTCAATGTCCTTCCAACTTGCATGCTCTACAAAATAGGCAAGTCTCTTGATGATTTAGTGTATACTGAGGTTACAATTAGTGATTTTACAAGAGGGGTGAATCGTTCAAGGGGTGTGCTGCCTGTTGAATTAACAGTGGGAAATATGGCACTTATGTCTGCATTTTTGGTGGTGGATACTGTTGCTACTTACAATGCACTTTTGGGGCGTGACTGGATTCATTCAAGTTGGTGTGTCCCTTCTTCACTTCACCAGAAACTGATTTTCTGGAATGGTGGCAAGGCTGAGGTCGTGTCTGCAGATGATAAGCCTTTTTCAGCTAATACTCACCTGGTAGAGGCTAGATATTATGAAGAAAACATTGGTACCATTCGATCTTTTGGGATGGATGGACATGGGAAACCGATTGGGATAACAGTATGCAGCAGACCGTCTTTGTCTAAACGTGCTGTAGAGGAAGTCTGTGATGGACTTCTTCGGCCAACAACAATAATTCCTTATAGGCCGAAGGGGAAACTAAGAATTAAAGAAATCTAATGAAGCAAGCTCGTCAGAGACAGGAAAGAGAAAAGGCTGTGTTAGAGATAACAAAGAAATTAGCGGCCTATTTTGCTGAAAAAGTAGTTCAAGTAGACAGGTCTGAAATTGTTCATGAAGGTGAGGAGGCAGACCGAGGTGATGAAATAACTTTGGAGGAGATGGATCTGGCCCCAACCAAATTGGATGATTTAAAAGTTGAAGTTCAAGACCCACTAGAGGAGATCAATCTAGGGTATGAAAGTGAACCAAAGGTAACATTTATCAGTGGCTCTCTTGAGCCGCAGACACGAGATCAAATTGTCAGACTTTTGCATGAATTTAAAGACTGTTTTGCTTGGGATTACTCAAAAATGCCAGGTCTGAATCGAAAATTGGTGGAACATAAACTGCCAATTGCAAAAGGATTCAAACCGTATAAATAGCCGCCTAGACGCATGTCTACAGAGGTCACTTTGAAGGTGAAAGAAGAAATTGAGCGACTGGTAAAAGATGGATTCATTTGGACATGCAGGTATGCAGACTGGTTGTCAAATGTAATGCTTGTGCTGAAAAAGAATGGAAAATTAAGAGTCTATGTTGATTTTCAAAACCTGAATTTAGCTACACCAAAGGATGAGTATCCTATGCCAATTGCAGACTTGTTGGTTGATGGAGTAGCCCGTCAAAAAATTCTATCTTTCATGGATGGTCATAGTGGGTACAACCAAATTTTTATTGCAAACGCAGACGTTCTTAAGACGACCTTTCGATGCCCAGGTGCTGTTGGAACTTTTGAATGGGTTGTGATGCCATTTGGTCTGAAGAATGCTGGAGCTACTTATCAAAGAACCATGAATGCAATTTTTCATGATATGATTGGTAAATTCATGGAAATCTATATTGATGATGTTGTGGTGAAGTCACATGGCGAAGCAGACCACCTGGTCCATTTGAGGAAGGCTTTCGAGCGGATGAGGCAACATGGCTTGAAAATGAACCCACTAAAGTGTGCCTTTGGAGTGTCTGCGGGTAACTTCCTTGGGTACTTGGTGCATGAGCGTGGTCTGGAGGTTGACAAGAACAAAGCCAGGGCTGTGATTGAGGCGAAACCACAACAGAACAAGAAGGAGTTGCAAAGATTTCTTGTCCAAGTTAATTTTTTACGACGATTCATTTCTAACTTGGCTGGGAAAACCAGAGTCTTTTCTCCTCTGTTGAAACTCAAGTCTAAGGCAGATTTTAAGTGGGAAGAGCACCACCCGTGTGCCTTTGATATGATAAAGCGGTACTTATCCAGACCATCAGTACTTATACCGCTTGTGAAAAATAAGCCTTTAATTTTGTATATATCTACCGTAGACGAGTCCATAGGATGTCTACTGGCGCAGGAAAATGATAAAAAACAGGATCAGGCTATGAATTACTTGAGTCGATGTTTGACCCAAACCGAAGTGAAATACTCTTCGGTCGAAAAGTTGTGTCTTGCTCTCTTTTTTGCTGCAATAAAATTAAGACATTATTTGATTTATTCTGAGGTGTATGTGGTTGCCAAGACTGATATTGTCAAATATATGTTGTCTCGTCCTTTGTGAAGAGGCCGAATAGGTAAATGAATTCTGGCCTTGTCTGAATTTAATTTGAAGTATATACCACAGAAGGTTGTCAAAGGGCAGGCACTGGCAGACTTTCTTGCAGATCATCCATGTCTGAACGTGGAGGCAGACGAAGAAAAAGGGATTAACTTGTTTTCAATAAGTTTAGTTCTCTGGAAACTTATTTTTGATGGATATAGTACAGAAACCATGACTGGAGCTGGAGTCGTGGTTATCTCTCCGTCTGGGCTAAAAACACAGATGTCTTCTAGCTGGATTTTGATTGCACAAATAATCAAGCAGAATATGAATCTTTGATTATTGGTCTTGAGATGTTAGTGGAGCTTAAAGTATCCATGGTTGAGGTTATAGGGGACTCACAGCTAGTCTTGAAGCAATTGTCTGGTGAGTACAAATGTACTAGCCTTGCCTTAGCCCCTTATTTTGCCTTGGCTGTGAAATTACTAGAAGAGTTTGACGATGTGTCCATCAGACATGTGCCTAGAGACCAGAATTATGAAGCTAATGAAATGGCCCAGATTGCTTCAGGTCTACGAATCCCTGAAGGTGTAATGCAGAAGGTTATAATAGTTGAAAAGCGCAGTATGCCATCAATTCATCAACGTGGCATGACAATTTCTACCTGCAGCATTGATGTTACCCAGACAAACTGGCACTTTCCAATTATGCAGTACCTTAAGGACCAAAACGCTAAGGTATCTAAGAAAACCAAAATGCAAGCTCTTAATTATGTTTTGGTTGAGAATGTGCTTTATAGGAGAGGCCATGATGAACTACTGCTGCATTGTCTGGGTCCAGATGAAAGTTTCCAGATGTTGTCTGATGTCCATGATCGGATTTGTGGTGCACACCAGGCTGGGAACAAGATGCGCTGGTTAATTCGCAGACATGGTTTCTTCTAACCGTCTGTCTTGAAAGATTATATTACTTATGCTAAGGGCTGCAAATCTTGTTAGATCCATGGGTCACTTCAAAGAGTTCCAGCCTCTAAACTTAACTCTATTGTGAAACTGTGGCCATTTCGAGGCTAGGCTATTGACTTGATTGGTAAGGTGTATCCCCCTTCATCAAAATGTCATTCATTTATTATAGTGGCAACGGATTATTTTACCAAATGGGTGGAGGCTAAACCAATGAAGAAGGTAGACCAATCTGATGTAATCAAGTTCATCAAAGAGGACATTATTCACAAATTTGGTCTACCAGAAACAATTACAACAGACCAAGGCACAGTTTTTGTCAGCCATCAAGTGGAGGCATTTGCAAAGGAAATGGATTTCCGTCTGTTAAATTCTACTCCTCATTATGCACAAGCTAACGGGCAAGCGGACGCTTCTAATAAGGTGGTAATTAATTTGGTTGAAAAAATGGTGGATGACAACCCTAGACGCTGGCATGAACTATTGTCTGAAACACTATGGGCTTATAGAACTTCACAGAGAAGTTGAACCAAAATGACACCTTTTGCCTTGACATATGGCCATGATGCAGTCTTGCCAATGGAGTTAACAGCTAGGTCTTTAAGAATAGCAATTCAGCATAATCTCCAGTCTGGGGAATATGACGAGGCTATGATGCTTGAGCTTGAGGACCTTGAAGACACACGTTTGGCAGCTTTGGATAGATTGCAAGCTCAAAAACTTAAAATTGCAAAGTCTTACAACAAGAGGGTAAAAGGTAAAAATCTGGCAGTTGGTGACTTGGTCTGGAAAGCAATTTTACCTTTTGGCAAGAAAGATCATAGATTTGGGAAATGGTCCCCAAATTGGGAAGGACCATTTCGAATTCATGAAGTGTTGAGAGGGGGTGCTTATTGGTTGGAGTCGCTTGATAGAGAGCTTCATCCTAGAAAAATCAATGGAATTTATCTCAAGCCTTATTATCCCATAGTCTGGGAGGCAAGAGGCTTAGAGTCCCAAGAAGCTGTGAGTCCTAAGAAGCTGTCTGAGCCAGGTTCATACTTCTGTCTGTGCATAAATAAGTTGATTTGCTTTCATGTGTTTATTCCAAAATGAGAGCAAGTTTGATCGAGCGGCCATGACTGGCTGTGGATGGCTGGATGCGCTCAGACAAAGTCAGCTATGAAAAAGTTGGGAATACTTGCTGCAATCATCTTGGGATTTAGCAGATTTTGCACGTGGCCTTTGAAGTCTGAAAGGTAATTTAAAATTTAAACACTTGGATTTATTCCCATAAAACCAAGTGTTGGGGGGCATTGTTTACACCTAAAATAAACCAATAGGGTAAGGCGACATGTCAAGATAAAGCCTAATTATCAAGAAAATCAATAGGTTGGATTTGGGTTGAGCTGGCTTACAATTTAACAGCCCAGATGGATTTCCAAGGAGGTTGGATCTTAGGTGGCAGAAGATAAGATTGGATCTGGTAGTTTGAGTTTGATTTAAAATGGGAAATTAAGGAATTTTAGGTAGTTATCTTTAAGGTTGTTGGAGATAAGGTTAAAAAAAAATCAGATAACTATTAAATAACTGCCAGACCTGCAATCCCATTACCAGATCATGGAGGAACAGTGCCGAAAATCGAGGAACAGTACCAAAGATCATGGAGAAAGTTACCAGCACCGAAGAAAATAAATACAGAGAAAAGAGACCAATTTGGAGGTTTGCCCAACACACACACAGACTGCCCAGAGCATGTTTTTCAGCTTTCAAACTGCATTTTCCAGATTTCAGCAATAGTTTCTAGATTTTCCAGATTAGTTCATAGCCTTAGCCTAGGTTTGTTCATCTTTGTTCATATTTCCTCCCGCAAATTCCAATTTAGATTAATTTTTAAACATTTGGAAGCAATTTAGCCTTCAAAACAGGTCTGCCCTTTTGATTCGGTTAGTTCTTCTTCCTTTTATGGATTTAGTTATGTTATTCGTTCATGTAAATAGGTTGAACGTTCTCTACCATTGTTCTTTTGTCTCTACACAATATCCAAACATGCAGTTTGTGTAAATTAAATTTCCAGATTTAAATTTATAAGTTTCTAGACTTTAATCATTTCATAGTTTCTACTTCAGTTTTAGTTAATCATTATGGGTTGCGTAGTTGAAATCATTGTCTGTTATTTTATTTTTTCTGTTGTCTGCGAATTTAATCTTCATGGCATGTTATTTTTTGTTCTTTACTTCATGTTAGTTTAATTGCTTTAGGATATTGCATTTATTTTAGGATTTGTAGCTTTTATTACACTTGTTTGGTTGTGAAGTGCTTGGAGGTTTCCAAGGCAATTAGTAACCCATTTTGCATAACTCTACCCTCTGTTTTGCAACATCATCTGAGGCGCAATTCATTTAATAGACGTTCTTTCCAACCATCCTATTGGAGGTCGACCGTTGGAAAGGAGAAGGATCGTTTGAAAAATCCTATTTTCTTATTTTTAGACAAAGTAAGTGGCACGCCTAATAACCAAACTCACGCGGTAAATGTCAGCTGAGGATTTTTGGGGAAACATAACCTATTAAAATATATGTAATAAAATTATTTTATATATTATTTCATTAACGATAGTTTATTAATTTTAGTCCCATCTACAAATTTATTAAAATATTTTCAATGAAATTATTTTATAGAAAATAGTGCATAACAATCCCCACACCCAAGAAAAAAATTAGAATCCTAATTTATATTTAAAAATTAAAATCTCAAAATTCACCCAATTAAATACTAAGACTTAAATTTGAAAATTGATTATATATTTTAATATAATTAGTTTTCAAATCTAAATATTAATATTTAATAAGATAGATATTTTAATTTTGAATTGAATTTTAATTAAATAAAGTAACGTGCTTTAAAGTCAAAATTTCAATTTATTTTAGAAGTAAGGACTGATATATACTTTTCTTTATTTTATATATATTATTATTTCATTAATAATAATTTTATAATTCTAATACTTGAATTATACTTTTACCATGTAGTCCAACTTGTAAAATATAAATCTCTTTTAAAATTACTAATTTAGCCATGCATAGTGAGCTATGGCCTCTACTACTTTTAAAATTTTTTAATAAATACCAAATAAATTCTCAATTAGTTTTAAAATTTTCAATAGATATCAATTAAATACCTAATTGGCCCTTAAAATCCAAACTTAATTATTTTCTCAATAATAATCTAAAGGGCAGTGCTATAAGGACAATATTTTTATATCACTTTTTGATACAACTTCCACGTGTCATTAAATGAGTTAATGTATTTAATATCATGGGTCTACATGAATTAAAAAAACCAATTATTTAAATGACATATCAAATTATATTAAAAGTTGATACAAAAAGATTATCCCAAAATCATTTCCTTAATCTAAATACCCAATATCCTGTTAAAAATCCTTTTAAAATCTTAAATAAATATTCAATGGGTCCTTTAAAATCTTTAATAATAATTATAAATGTAATTATAATTTTAATTATCAAGACATCAATTTGACTTCACAAATTGATTCAACAAAAAAAAAAAAAGAACCAAATTTCTTTTCTTTCTATACTCCAACTCAATTAATTCATCAACTTCAATTCCAAATTGATTCGATAATTTTAATTATATACTAGTTTTCAAATTCAATAGTATATTATAAAAATTATTAAAATATTTAATAAATACCAAATAAATATCTACTGAGTCTATTCAAAACTTTCTAAAATATTTAATAAATATCAAATGAACCTCTTAAAAAATATTTAGTGAAGTTGGAGCTCGATTAACATAAATTAATATCCTTTTAAATTTCTTGGTGAACATGATACAAATAATTCCTTATTAAATTAATTCTTTATATAATAATACTTAACAATGCTGTAATTATATCAAATTTTTTACTAATTTTTTTCAAATTCCACTTTAATTACCATATAATAATTTCACTTCTATATCTCTATATCATTAAAATTGAAAACAACTTACCCAAATATATAATTTAACTTTTATTTTAATTATAGAAAGTGTTTAATGTAGTTATACACTATATTATATTCATGTGGACTTTGCAAATTTATTCTTATTTACTCTATTATTTTTGGATAAATGTATTTTTTAATAATGACTAAGATGTAAATAATTTTTTATAACATTTTTCTTAGTAATGATTATTAAAATATTAATAATTATGAATGTCTACAAATTGCAATGTAAAATTGATGTATTTCAACTTGATAATGAATACATTAACTTAAAAGACTAATTTGAAATGTATAAATGAGTTTTAAATAAATCACTAAAGCATAAGTGGAAAATAAGAATATTTATAAGGAACCTAAAAATAAAGAAAGAACCTTTACTAGAAATCTAAAAATGTTTTGACATATTTTTTTATTAAAAGTCTAAATTATACAACAAGGGAGTAATTAGAAAAAAAATAATATAGTGAGAGGATAATAGGAAATGAATAATAATAAATAAAATATTAATATATAGATAAATTGATAAGGGCAAATATAGGTAAATAAATAAATATAATAATAAAATATGTGAAAGTAAACTAAATGATAACATTGTAAGAAAAATTAATAAAAGGTAAAGTATAAGTAAATAAAAAAGTATCAAGAGAATAATGTTAATGAATTATGACTTTTATATTTTGACTTAAAATCTTTTAATATGGGTATTTTGAAGAGAGAAGACAAATTTGGGTGAAAAAAAAGATGTATTAGTAATAGTTATAGATTTAATGAATTGCTCTAATATATTTATTTCAAAAAATTTAAATTGATGTGAAAGTACGTTAAATATATGTTTATAATAAATTAATATCTGTTTAAAATAACTTTTATGTTCATTAATTAAGAATTAATTTTAATTATAATTAATATTATTATATTTAATAATTACTAAAAAGATGTAATACAAACAAACTACATGGTTCTAAAACTTAGTTTTTATAAGAGGACTTGTTTTGTTAAAATATCTACTTTATCCAAAAAAAAAAAGTTTTTATTAAGAAAGTGGTTAGGAAAATTTAGGGAAAAAGTTTTTACAACCAAACAGCTCCTTAAGTTGAGAAATGAGGGTAAGAACTAGGAGTGGCAAAACCTGCAAGCTCATGGGTTGATTCGTTCTCTTATTATTATTATTATTATTATTATTATTATTATTATTATTTTAAATATTGTTCTTATTATTTTAAATTAATTTTCTTATTAGTAATTCTCTTTATTGATTTATACTTTTCAACCTCTTCTCCACTACTCACATGGTTTTGAATTTATTTTGAGTGTTTGTTTATTATTATTTTTTCTTCTACTTTTAGAAATCATGCCGGTTTGGTCTAATTACCAAATATCATGAATTAGATAATAATATAACTAAAAATATTAAAGATGTGATGCTGGAATATAAACATACGATTTAGTCAAAAAAAGTTTTTGGAGGAGCAATTTCATCTTAACGAGAGGCTTAAACTTCTTGATAAATTATGTTTTAAGATGATAATTACAAAATTCATACTTTATTTTTCAAGAAATTTTAATATTTTAAGTCTAATATTATTAATTAAATTATTGTTATATACAACCTATAATTTTTTCTTAATTTAAATATTTGTGGTGGGGACTATAAAGTTCTTAATGTTAGTCAACTTACATATCTATGATTTTATTTAAATATAATAAAATTATAAAAAAAAATATAAAAAATAAAAATAAAGTAAACTTATAGTTGACTCATAACCCAGTAAAGTTAAGTTAGGGTTAGCTTTTGTTAACCTGCAACCCATTTACAGCTTAAACCCTCTGACCCGTTACTTAAGTTGACCCAACAAAATCCAAACAACCCGGTCGTTTGCGAGGCCTAGTAAGAACCATACCCACCAGAACTGGACCGTGAAACTGGTCTAGGCCCATCCAACCCAAAACGGTGCTCATTGACTTTGCACTAATCTAAAATTACAATATTATGGAAACAACTTTCTTTTTTTTTAAATTAAAACTGAAGAAGATGAAGAACCCAAATGCTGTGAAAGGGTTCTAAGAAGGTTTAAATTCATAATATTTCAGATTCTGTCTTCCGGGTAAGAAATTTCTTCCTAATTAGCTCCTTTCTATCTCAAAAGATATCATTTTTAAACTAAATTTCGAATCTTTCTAGTGATATTATGATTATCTCTCTATCTTATAGGGCTCTGTAACTTGAATATAGCGATTGCAGATGAATTTTGGGACATGAACATTGTGAAGGAAGACAAAATTGAACTACTCTGAGGACGTTTTTGAAGGGTTCTTCTCAAATAGACCTTTTTCCTGCGATTAGTAGGGCTTCTTCTCAAGTAGCCCTGCTACTCCAAAGGGTAGCACTCCAATTTCTCTGAAGGGTTCTTCTCAGGTAGCACAATTTTTGCGATCACTATCCTTTTATTTTTACATTTTTTATTTCTCAACTAGCTGAAGCACCATTCTTTTTTTCTTTTTTCTTCCTCAATTTTATATTATTAATCCCAGACTAATATACATATATGTTTTTTGAAGTAGTATATTTATCTCTTCTCATTTAAAGAATTTGGCTAGTATTTATTTGCGGTTAAGTTTTTTGTATCCATAGTGTTTGATAACTGTTGGGTTTGTCTCTCTCTGGTTTGTGGGGAAAGATGGAGGGGGGTTTATCTAGATTGTGAATTAAGAATTGCTGATATTTTTTTTGTAAAATATACATATAACATTTCAACAGAGGCCCTGGATTTAATTAAATTTAGTTTTTTACCTTCTTGTTTCTTGTTCAATGCTTTGCATGAATTGGGTATTTTCTTATTTTTCAAATCTTTTGTTGTTTTGAATTGAACAACATCATAGAAGGAAAGGCAAGACATCTTTTGGCATCTATTTTCCAGAAAATGGCAATGAAACCATCTAATAACATCTGGATTCGACGCCAGCAGTGTCCTTGTGGTGATTGGAAGTGTTATATCAAGTATGAAGGAGATGATCAGACATCAGCAGCCTCTCAGCTAGTAAAGAGTGAGGCAACTCCAACATCGTCATCATCAGAAGCTGTCTTTACACCTTATGTGGGTCAAATATTCAAGAGTGATGATGATGCTTTTGAATACTACAGCAACTTTGCTCGGAAGAATGGATTTTCAATAAGAAAAGCGCGCTCAACTGAAAGCCAAAATTTAGGGATCTATAGGCGAGATTTTGTCTGTTATCGGTCTGGATTTAATCAACCAAGAAAAAAGGCCAATGTGGAGCATCCCAGGGACCGAAAATCAGTGCGATGTGGATGCGATGCTAAACTGTATTTGACAAAAGAAATTGTTGATGGCATTACTCAATGGTATGTTTCACAGTTTAGCAATGTTCATAACCATGAATTATTAGAAGATGACCAAGTACGTTTGCTTCCTGCATATCGGAAAATACAGGAAGCAGACCAGGAGAGAATTCTTTTACTCTCCAAAGCTGGTTTTCCTGTCAATCGCATTGTTAAGGTGTTGGAATTAGAAAAGGGAGTTCAACCTGGACAATTGCCATTTATTGAGAAAGATGTTCGGAATTTTGTTAGAACTTGTAAGAAGACTGTTCAAGAAAATGATGCTTTGCTTACTGAGAAAAGAGAAAATGATACATTGGAGCTTCTTGAAGCCTGCAAGTCTATGACAGAGAGGGATGCGAATTTTGTTTATGATTACACTACAGATAAAAACCATAAGGTTGAAAATGTTGCATGGTCATATGGAGACTCTGTTCATGCATTCATGGTGTATGGGGACGTTGTTACTTTTGACACTACCTATTGTTCTATCACATATGGTTTGCTTCTTGGAGTGTGGTTTGGTATTGATAATCATGGAAAGGCAATTTTCTTTGGGTGTGTCTTGCTGCAAGATGAAAGCTCTGAGTCATTTACCTGGGCATTACAGGTTTGTGGACAGTTTCTTGTGATCAATCTGCAATATTTTTGTGTCTTTTTATGATTTTCTTCTTTTGAACAGTCTTTCATTCGATTTATGGGAGGGAAGCGTCCACAGACAATTATAACAGATGTAGATTCAGGCCTTAGAGATGCTATAGCTAGGGAATTACCAGATACAAGACATGTTATCTGTTTATGGCATATTCTTTCCAAATTATCAAGTTGGTTTTCTCTACCACTTGGATCACAATATGAAGATTTCAAAACTGAATTTGATATGCTGTGTCACCTGGAGGGCATAGAGGAGTTTGAGCATCAGTGGAGTCTCTTGGTTGCTCGTTTTGGACTTGCCTCAGATAAGCACATAGCTCTACTATTCTCATATCGAGCATCCTGGCCATTGTCATATATTAGGGGTTACTTTCTTGCTCGTACCATGACAGCTGAGTTTTCTCAGTCTATGGATGCATTCTTGAAAAGAATCTTGAGTGGACAGACTTGTTTGCAAGTATTCTTTGAGCAGGTTTGTTGGCTATAACTGTTAATTCTCTTTAGCTCTCTGATGTCTGGTATACACTTTTCAGGTATGTTTTGGGTTCTGCAGGTTGGTCTTACTGCTGACTTCAGGAGTCATTCCAGAGAAGGGATGCAATATATGCACATGAAGACATGTTTACCAATTGAAGAACATGCACGCAATGTTACTACACCTTATGCCTTCAATGTGTTACAACATGAAATTGTTCTGTGCATGCAATATGCAACAACAGAAATGGCAGATGGATCATATCTAGTGCGGCACTATAAGAAAATGGATGGGGAGTGTCTTGTGTTTTGGATTCAAGAAGATGAGCAAATTCACTGTTCATGCAAGGAATTTGAACATTCTGGAATGTTGTGTAGACATTGCCTTAGAGTACTGTTAGTAAAGAACTACTTTCAAATCCCAGAAAAATATATTCTGCCCCGGTGGCGTTTGGAGAATTCCTTAGTTCCTTTTGAAGATCAAACTGCACAAAGCAGCAGTGACGAGTGTGCCCAAGCATTTCATTCTCTTGCATCAGCATTATTGACAGAATCATTGATTTCAAAGGAGCGTTATGGTTATGTTCATAGAGAACTTTCCCGAGTCCTTGATCATGTTAGGAACATGCCAAATTATGATGAGTTTGCTTTGAATATGACTGCTAACAATGTCAATGAATCTTAGCTCTATGTTTTCGCGGAATGGTGGCTAGTAAATGCAATGGGATGCCCAATGATCTTGAGATTTTTGTGACATTTGGAAGATGAAAGTGAAAAGGCTCTGAAGGCACCAAAAAGATAAGTAATTTGATGTTAATAATATTGTGGCATTGAACACCATACAGAGGCTGTGAAATACAATTTGTTCTTTTTGTTCTTTCTAGGCTTCTCTTGATTCCTGGTTTCCAGGTGGTAACAATTTTTTCCATTAATTTACTCTGTGCTGGGAAAACTTGGCTACTCCCTGATGTAAAAGGCATTTTGTTGTAGATATCCAACTATTTAATTGGGAGGGAGGGATCACAGAATTGAGAAGAAAGTATATTTCCTTTGAGAGTAATTTTACCTTGATATAAAAGGATGCTATACGGTGAGAAATTCTTGATACTGCAATGTTCAAGGATGAAAAGCATTCTTCATCTATTTCATCGTGTAGTTCGTTTCCTGGATGAAAAGCATCTAGGTTATTGAACACAAATGTTCCTGCATAGTGATTGTGTTTTCAGAGCCAAATGGGGTTCTCCAGACTTCTGTAAGCCAAATTATATTTCAATTATCCATCGTTACTGTGAATTATTTTGTTGACTAATAACTATATATTGCTTCATTTGTGAATTTGAATTGCAATGGGAATAAATTATTTTGTTACCACACTTTATGTGTCCTGGCAAGATGATAAGGTTGAGCCTGTGGTGTGTCATACCATTGAAAAAGAGGTCTTAAGTAGTTCGATTTTAAATTGTTGCTGGAACAAGAATGACTTTATACTTGCCTTTTGTCTCCATTTAAATGTAGTGAAGTGAATATTTCTCCACATGACGCTTTTTCTCATCAGTTAGGTGTTAGTGATAAGTGTTTGTTTGTTTAAGCGATAAAATGAAACTAGATCCATAATGCCAGCCAAAAATTGTCAGTCTAGACTCTTGTTAAGTGGCAGGTCAACTCAAGAGATTGATTCATGGCATCTGTGATCCTTAGCTAGAGAAGATCAAATTTTCTGTGGGTCATTGATGGAGGAAGATCAAGCACGGTAAAACTATTGCCTCCCACCTTTCTTAGCTGTTATCTAGATTTCAGGAAGTTTTTGGTCCAGGGAAACCCGACCAAGTGGAAGTCATTTTCTGTGTCATTTATATACTAAATATCTAGTTTGTTTGCTTTGTTCTTGTTTTTATCTCTATATTTGCTTTTTTATATTGTCAATGCATGTGCAAGGGCAAAGATATATTGATTTCGAATAAAAGTTTCAGGGTCTATGATTTGGGGGGGCCCCAAGATGCCATAGCCTATGACGAAATAGGAGAAACCATTGCTAATGGAAGTTAATTTATTGTGATAATGATGGTGATGTTTGTTTAGTGGTGATGCTGGGGTTAGGATATCTCTTTTTCATGTTCACATATATACAAGTGGAAGAATGCTGGGCCAGCTCATTATGCAACTAAACATTTTAAGTTATGAGAATCTCTGTGTAGGTTGTGCCTTTTGTTCCTATGTTTACACTCCTCCAAACTTGAATTGTAAGACTAGGGCAAATGGTTTGTAAAGGGTAGATGTCCCAAGGACTAGAAACTAAGCCTAAAAATTCCGACTTCTCCAGCTAATTTCTCTTAAAATTGTGGCTTGAGTGGGATATGGCTTAGGGATATAGAGCCTAGAGGAGACTATTAGTCCTTTGGGCAAAAAACCTTTCAAAAAGTTTCCCCAAAACCATGGAACATCAAGCGAGTAACAACTTTATAAGGGAGTCACTTTATGAGAACAGCCAATCAAATTTGTTGTCAAGTGAGTTTGTGAGTTGTGTTAGTGAAATTTGTTGCTCTTCAGTCTCTAGTACTACTCTAGCATAAACAAATTTTAGATTTGTCAAAACTGCTTTTGTGTTCAGTTTATTGGCCTTCTTTGTTTTGATTTTTCATAAAACTTGTTAGATAAACATGTTGCTTTTAACATTTAAAACGCTAATGAGCAAGTTTAGAAAAAGTTATGTCTTTTTGGGTTGTATTTTTAGCAGTAGCTTTTCTGGATTTGTTTGTTTACATTTTAGACGCTGATAAGCAATTATCAAACAAATTTTCTGAAAAATCAAAGTAATAAAAAACTACTTTATTTCAAAATATAGGACGTTCAATATTTTACACATTTTTAGAGAATGTTTTTTATAATATATGATAATTGAGATATTTTTCCTATACGTAGTTTTTATTAAGTTGTTTTATTTAATCAAAAAAATTTTCAATTATAATTTATATACAATTGAGAAAAAAAAAAAAAAAAAACGTTATCTAAAACTTATATTTTGAAATAGATGGAGTAATAAGATGGTTGTCTTTACCAAAGAGGTGAGGGAGATTTTTTCATGTATCTTTTAGCAAGGAAAATTCAAGATTGTACTCTTATGGAAGACTCAAGTCAGTGAGGAATTGCTTTGTAATTTCCTCTGACTGAGTTAACATTGTGGGCTGAATAAAAGGATTGCGTTCACATGTAAAAAGCAATGCTTACGACATTCCAAGTCGTACCAAACAAAAGGTGTTCTTTTCTTTTCTTTTCTTTTCTTTTTTTAAATAGATAAATATCATTAAGGATTTACCAATCACATAACGATTTGCATTTTGATTTGCCCGCTTAACCCCGTCTTAAAACCCTACCTCATGCGTTGACCAAATTCAACAAACAGAGGCCAACTTTAAATATATCCTTCAATGTCATTGTCTACTTTGAAAAAAAAAAAAGAGTACTTAGTACTTATTTTGCTGTCAAATTACCTCTTCTTATACCTACTGGTTCCAAGCCTTACCCGTGTCCATGTGTTGACAAGGCTTTGATTATGTAATAAAGAGACAAGATGAAATTATGGAAATCTCATGTCTTTTTTTTGAACTAAGGGGAATTGTGGGGGATGGGGAAAGTAATGCCTGGTGTAGAACCCAGGACTTGCATGTCATAACACGTTCTACGTAGGTTATAGTCATTAGATCACATAGTGCTAGACATGGAAATCTCATGTTTGAATCTCCCTTTTTCATTACTATGTATAAGAAATTTTCCTTTTTCTTGAAAAGTAGAAAATAAATGAAAGATAGTCTCCAAATGATAATGATCATGTGTACGAGTAGAATTATAGGTTTCTAATCACCAAGAGTTTTGTGGACTTGATATTTACTATTTTGAAAACCTAAATTCTTAGTCTAAGTTCTTGAAATCTCAATCTAGACTAGTTAATTTTGATGTCAATTAGTTGAAAATATATATATATATATATATATATCAATCTAGGTATAAAAACCCAAAAATACCTTTAATAATTAGCCAGTGCTCGTAATCATTAATGCACCATTTAGTATGATTGTGGTTTTTAATTTTTAATTTTAATTTTTATAAAATTTTCAATTTTAAATAAAAAATTAGTTGAGTTCATTTATGATTTTCAACAGATTACTATGATTCTTAGATAAATAAGAATAAAAGTAGTTTTAATACTAGTAAAACAACTCTATAATTTTAGTTGTCAATGTTAAAACTTATTTTAAATAAATTGTTAGTTTTTCATTTTAATTTTTAGTGTCAGCTTGTTGTTAATTTTTTCAAAACTAAAACTAAAAATAAAAAATAACAACAATGCTAAACTGAACTTAGATTATTTTTGTCATTTCATATTCAAACTAACAATAAAATTAGTGGCATCCTCCTGGAACAGTTCTCAGCTCTTAGCTTAGTACTAATTTCTTACCATGATATGTGAAAGAAAAAGGCTAATAGAAATGTTTTTTACTTTCGGGTCTGCACTAAAATACGTGAGGTAGAGGGGTGGAAAAGGCCAAAATATCTTTAATAATTAAGGATGCATGATGATGATTTATTAATGATATTTTTGTCTTTCCATGGTAAACTAATGTTTTTAAGACCGAAGAAAATCATTTTCAAATGCTAATTACTCGTAGTGACTTCGTTCAACTTTAATTATCTTAGTTTAAGTTTTTGATTTTTTAAACATTTAATTTTAATTATTATTTATATAGTAAATTAAAATTTTACCTAAAATTAATGTTTAAAAAGTAAAAAAAAAAAAATTAATCTAGACCAACTAGAATTGGAGAAAGACAGTAGTAATTAACAATTTAACTCTTGATAAGTTGAATTTATTATAGTAATACATCTGGGCTCTCTAGATACTATTTTACGGTAAACAGAAATTATTTAGATTTTAGAGATCCCAGCAAGTATGCAGAAACCAGCAGATTGTACAAATTGCAAAATGAAAACAAGGGCGTGGTTATGCCAACACGTGGTTACGTTATACCATCCGAAATTATTAATATTTTCCTTAAAACAGTCTCGATTTAACATAATTGTCAAAAATAATTAATAAAAGATAAAATCTATTATTTAAAAATTGATATGAGCTCATCAGCTGATTTTTCCACACATTATCACCTGCAATTAAATAAATTTTTTTTATGTGATAAAATATCCATTGAACACGTTTAGATGCAGCCACAACCGCACCAAAAATACGAGTCAGAGACATTCTAAAAGCCGATCATGATTTCTCTTTGCATTAAATTTGATTCGGAATTGATGGTTGCTTTCATCCTTCTGATGAAATCTTCACATTTCTCGTTCAATTCCTCTGTACTCATCGACCCAAGTTCTCCTTCTTCATCATCTTCACCATATTCCTTGACAAACCAAAGCTCTTCATCTTCATCGCCTACGATCGAGATGACCTTTTCTTCTCCTTCTGGAGTGAAAGATCCTTTTTCCATTTCTTTTGCTTCTTCAGATGTTTCTACAATCGGGGTTTTCTTCTCTGATTTCAATTCAGCAAATTCCGGTTGATTCTGTTCATTATGATTGGTTTTCATGAGCGGCGCCGGAACTCTAAGAGCAGTTTCTTTAAGCGAAGACTTTCCGATCAAACCAGAGCTCTTGAAGATAAAAACAATAATTCCATTGGAAAGCAAAAAGACGTAATTCTTGTTAAGGTAGAAATCCAAGAGTTGAAGAATATATACTAACAAATATTTGTAATATGAAGAGAAAGATAGTAGGATAGAAATGAGGAGAGCTAGTTTAAGAGGGCGAGAAAACCTGAATGGGTTCAAAATTTGAATAATTGGCTCCATTTTTCTCTCTCGATTCTGTTTCTTTGAGGCAGGGGAGAAGGGGAAAGAGAAGAGAATAGGAAAAAGTTATCGAGTAGGAAACGGAGTGGGAATGTGGGATAGAGGGTGAGTAAGTGCAAAAGGGAGTCGCTGGCTATTTATATTGGAAACTTTTGCCTAGCCTGTAGCTGGGCCCCCTTTTTTTTTTTT